GCCGTCTGCCGCGCCCAGGATCCCGGCCCTGCTTGGGGTTTCCCAGGGATGTGTTTACCCGTCTGTGTGTTTCAGCGGGGCTGAACACATCCCTTGTGGAATTGAAGTGGGTAAATAGTTTCAGCTTAAATGATTAGATCGGGCAAGGGCTGGGGGACCTAACGGATTAAGAAATAAAAACTTCAGTGCCTTGCCGGATGGTTTTAACTGGTGGCTTCTCCTGTTCCGTAAAATTACACGCGCGAGTCTATGGCAGCACTTAAGCTCGCTCGTCTTACATACTTCCCACTAATGCCTGGGTATATTAAGTGCTTTCTTCTGGATCAGCTGTCCACCGCGATGCAGCAGATACACGTTGATGACATCTTTCCAAACAAAACCGTTTAAAGTAGGCTTAAGTGGAGGAAAAGCCCCAAACTCTGGAACTAGGGACGGGAAAGAGGGTTGAGCCGATACACAATTAATTTGGGTTTTTGCATGTCCAATTCCACGAAAGAAGCCAGCTGCCCAGGAAGGGAGGCAAAACAGGTGAATGTTTAGGGCTGTGCAGCGGTCCGGATCCAAGGGGAGATGGTGACGATTCCACGTGCAGGTGGATGTGCGTGTCACTCACGCCGGCAACTCACGCACAATCCCCGGAAAACGCAGGTTAGATTTAAGGAGGGGTCGGCGGGGGCTCCGAATCACGGCCTCCCCTTTGAATCCGGATGGCCGCGCAGCCCGACTGGCCACAGAGCGGCCTCTTTCCTCGCCCTGCTCCTCCCCGCGTCCTTCCCCGGCTGCCGAAGGCTGCTGACCAGAAGCAGCCGGGAGATTTTATTGCCAAAGCTAAGACACGAGAAACGTTACAACAGCCTGAGAGTCGCGAAGTCCTGTAAACACACACACACACACGTGTGCTACTCAAGTCAGTTTTGGGTGGAGGACTCCCAAGTCCTCTGTCAATGTACCTGTGGGGCTTGGTCACTGCGCCTCCCCGCACGGCATTCACGGTTTCCAGAAATGGGACTGCAAACAAGAGGTTTCCATAGCACCTTTTGGCGAGCTACCAAAGAAGTAAAAAAGAGGAATAGGGATGTGCTGAGGAATTCTACCCGGGTTTCTCACAGTGGGGCCCTCGGGCCTGTCTCCGGGGCCTTCGCACTTGGGGCGGAAGGAGAGCCTCGCTCTCCCCTCGGACAGTGGGACTCCCTTCTCGATCCAGCTGCCTTTCCTGCTTTGTTTTGGCCGATGTGGCGATCTGGACGCCACAGAACCACCCCTGCCTTTGCCCAGGGGATCAGGCCAGAATTTGGGGATTGCTATTCCCTTCCTGCTAGACCAGGCCCAAACGAGCAGGCGACGTGGACTTTTGGGGTGCTACGTGACCTGGTGGCCCGACTGCCTGAGGTGCCTAGTCACGCGTTCCTTCACCCGAAACGAAACCCAGGAGTCTCATCTGGGCTTCCCACCCTACTCCCTTTTTTCAGCTGGGGGGGGCAGGAGTCAGAACGGGGGGTGCCCCGAAACTGGTTCTGGCCACACTCCAAAATACAACCAAGACTCCGTGCATATCTTACCAGCCACACAATAAACCAGTCTGGCATCTGTGGGGGAGAACCCCATGGGATTGGATGACACATTTCTGGGTTTTTTAAATGTCTGCCTAATTGAAATTCAGAAATATTGGGCGATCAGTGTTGAGAGTTGTCAATGAAGATGGATCAGAAAGTCCCCTTTTGCTCCCTTTTGCCTCTTGATAACGTGTTTTAATAGTTTGTGGGGAAGAGGCAGGTGTGAGTATCCATGGCATATACCAAAAAGCCTCTTCTCAAGGCAGTTTCTCACTGGATACTCGGAGGATGATCGTGGTATGGCTCCTTCTCTTTGTTCTATCTATAGCTTTCCATTCCTCTCTATATATTCTATATATCTAATAGCAACTTTTACAGGGGGGGAAATGCTATACAGGTTATCATCATTTTCTGGGACATCTGAAAAAGCTTTCCTTCCTTGCTAGCCTTACGTTTTTAAAAAGTTCCTGGGTTACATTCTCATTCTTTGCGCTGTTAAGTGCCAAGTGACCGTTTGTGACTTTTGCTTTTCCTTTCTTGCAGCCCGCCGACCGGTCACGGGACACAGGAAGAGAACAGCCATCGCCAACACAAAGCTCAGCCGTCACGTTTCGGAGGTGAGAGGTCGTCGGGCGCCCGAGGCCGAAGCCAGGATCTGTTCCCTTCTGTGGGGCTCGAGCAGGTTCCCTCGGTTGGCCGCGCCTGAGCCTTCCCAGCCTTTCGGGGGGCCGAAGGCACGGAGGCCCGATTCCGGACTCAGAGGACCAAGTGCTGCCCGGCTGCTTTTGACGGCAGCCCTCGAGGGCCTCGGGCGCCTGCGCCGCTCACCGGAGCCACCTGGATCAGCCCCAGAAGGCCGAGCCAAAGGTTCGCCTGCCTTTGCCAAGGCCTTCAGGGGAAGACGCCTCAAGGGGCCCGGCCCTCTGCCTGCTCCTCCTCCGCCCTCCTACAGCAGGCCAGGCACGGAGCCGAGGGGGACTGAAAGATGTTCAGGCTGCCCTCGGGCCTGTGGTGAGCACTCCTCTCTTTCCTGAGAGCGGCGGGGGGGGGGGGCGCCCCGACCCGGGGGCGGGGGGGTTCGGCCGGTGGGGAGAAGCAC